CCACTAAGGAGGGAAGAGCAGGTGCTCAGGGACTCCCACCCCCACCCACCACCGCCGGCCAGGCTTTGCCCAGAGCCTCCTGCGTTCAGGAGCCCTGACCGACGGTTTACACAGGACCTGTGCCACCTGCCTGTGTGCCCCGATTCCCTTCCATCCCACCCCCACTGTCCACACTAGGAAGCACATTGAAGGCCTCTCACTCAAGCCCAGAGAAACATCTCAAAGGCCCGAAGCCGCCTAAGAGGGTGAGGCAGGCTGCGGGGATCCCAGGCCACAGCTCGCCTGCCCTGCTGTACGATGGCTGTGGGCCCCAAAGGTACCCTCAAGGGAGCCAGCCTTGGGGCCACAGCTGGCCCAGGTTCAGGTCTCTGGCCCGTCTGGCTAAGGCACTGGCCTGCTTCAGGGAGGGGCTCCCGCACATGGGGAAGAGGAGGGGCCGGCGCTTCAGTCCTTCCCCCCTTAGCAAACATTCCAGAGGCTGCAGGAGGCCTGCGGACAGCCTGCTGGTGGCCCGAGCTCCCTAAGGGATCCCCTCCCGCCCATTTGAAATTCTAGGCCCTCAAGAGACAGTTTAGGAATCAGGCTCCTCCCCTTCCCCACCCATGTTTTACATCTGCTGAATCCATGGAGCAAGGACCTCATAAAAACGGGACCACGTTACCCAGGTCCCTGGATAACCCGGATCCAAATGCGGCCTCGGAAACACTAAGGAGTCAAAACCTCTGTGGTTTCTTAGGACAAAGGCATCAGTCCACCCCCCGCGCCCCCGCCCCCGGCCAGGAGCCTGGAAAAACCGCACCCTGTGCATTTTCTAGCCTTAGTATAAGGTCAAGCTGCAAACAGGGGGAAAGTCCTGTGTGGATACAAACGCGGCTACCACCTTCCGGGGGAGGCCTGGCGGGACCTCACGCGTGCATTTCGAATTCCAAGAATGCCACTCCCGGGGAGTTCGGGGTCCCTTTGACTTCAAACTAGGCTCAAAGAAAAGACTGTCTCTCCCCAGAAGCCCCAGTGAACGCCCAGGAACAGCGCTCAGCTCCAGCTTCCTTCCCTTTCCCCAGAGACAAAAATGCAGATGAAGCAAGTATTTGTTTGACTTTTACTATGTAAATAACGCCTGGCATCAAGGCCAGCACTTGGGGAGAAAACAGCCCCGCACAAAAACCGCCCAAAAGGCCGGGGTCCTCACAATGAAAAACGAGGCATGAGCTCTAAAAGTTAACATCTTTTTTACAACGAAAGTGACCACACTGTGAATCCATCCAGGGCAATTCTGCCCCCACGGGACGGACATTTGACAGTGTCTGGAGACTTCTGTTGGCTGTCACGCCTGGGGGGGGGGGGTCCAGTGGCATCACGTGAGTGGAGACCTGGGGGGCTTCCGAACATCCTGCCAAGCACGGGACAGCCCCCCCACAGAGGACACAGACCCGAGTATGAGTATCGGTGGTGCCAAGGCTGAAAGACCCTCATGTAAGGCATGGCACACAGTCACTTGACAATGGCACTGCGCGTGTTTCCAGGTGGAACTGAGGGGAACCGGGGGCTCTGGGGATGGAGAGCTGGTCCTTAGGGGCCTTCTCCGGACTCACCAGTTTTGTTACCTCGGGGCACACCATTTAACTTCCCTTTGCCTCAGCTGTTGCATCTATAAAATGGGCTGAAAGGAGTGCCTGGGTGGCTCAGTCAGTTAGGCAGGACTCGATCTCACCTAAGGTCAGGATCTCAGGATTCAAGCGAAAGAGGCATGAGGGGACAGTGAGGGGTCTGCTCCGGATTCTCTCTCTGCCCCTCCTCTGCTCATCCTTGCTCTCTCTCTCTCTCTCTCAAAATACATTTCAAACATTAACAAACTAAAATAAAAGAGGCTGATTAAACTTGCTGATCTGAAGATCACAGACCGAAGCAACCTTGTTCTTGGCATTTCTTCAGGTCTAAGATGCACACTCCTACGAGGCTTGCAAATCACACCCCCTTTATCATAAGAGTCTGTCATCTGACGCTTGATCGAGCCACCCCCACGTCTGACTCTGTTACGTAGAAAGTGAGCTGTAGGATATCCCCGGGATCATTTATGTAAAATATTGGATTATGACTTTTTAAATGCAAAGAAAAAACCCCACCCCTCTTAGAACAATTATTATTTGGGCCCCAAATTACAGCAGCTGGTGTAAGGAGCCCCAGAGATTTTCAGTAGCTACAGACAGGAAGACTCCAAACTTGGATTCATCCAAATTCTACCAGCGGAACCCTTCTCTGCGGTCTCTATCGCAACTGCGGAGTCCCACTCTTCAAGTGGTTCTAAATGGTCACGCTTCCCTTCATCCTTTTCTAATAACGAGACAGTTAATTACCAGCTGTTGCAATCTAAGCAGGCCTAATTGATGACTTAATCCAAGAGGACAAACAGGCATGTGAAACACTGCCAATACCATGCAATGCAACGTGCAGTTAAAAACATACGATAAACGCACGTGGGAGCACGTATCTCTGCAAAGTCTAGTCCCATGTACATGGGACGCTAGCACAGAAGTCCCAAACCCTCCTGAATCCTCTCTATCTTAAATACATAGACTCCCAGTTTCCAGTCACACTGGAACAGCTATAAAAACTAAGCAGCAGTTTAAGGGAGAGACGGAGGAGCATCTCGGATAAGACTCACAAACATTTTGATTCCTGCAAAATCCGGAAACACAATCTGGAAAGGCTGGGCACACGGTGAGTGGCCTACTCACAAAAACTTTCAAAGTAGGAAACGACACCTTAGCCGCAGCGTGGAAAGCTAACCACCAGGCCAAAATCACGAACACAGGCCTCATGCCCCAAAAGGGCCCTGCTGTGTATCTGCTGAGTTTTATGCCCCCCTCCTTCAGTCTAGAATGGGGCGCGCTGGACAGAGGAAGCAGGAGGCCAGGGAGAACATACCAGGGATTTTAGGAATGAGAACATGCTCTTGAATCCCCTTCTCCAGCTTCTGGCCAAACAATTGAATTTCACAGTTTTTAAGTTTATGTATTTATTTTGGGAGAGAAAGAGAGCATGCATGCGTGGGGGAGGGGGAGGAGGGAGGGGGGGAGGGAGAGAGAAAGAGAGAGAGAGAACCCCAAGCGGGCTCCACTGTCCACGCAGAGCCCAATGATGCGGCCTTGAACCCAAGAACTGTGGTATCATGACATGAGCCGAAACCAAGAGTCTGACGCTGAATCGACTGAGCCACCACCCAACCAGACGCCCGGAATTTCAGAGTTTCAAGTGACTTCCAACTTTCTTACACTGTGTATGCCCAAAGGCAAGACTTCACCTTAACTAATGTTTTACAATTTATTCCACCTCCATATAATGACCCGTCTAAGAGAGATATGTTGAATTGTGTGTATCTTTTTTTTTTTGGAAGAAACACATGAGATGCTAAAGGTGTTAGTAATTCGCCATTTTTAACTTTTACCATCAGAAATGCCCTGTAAGACCTTTATTAAAAAGGCACAACTGTAACAGTCTTTGATATGCATTTATGCAGGAAAGTGCTCTTGCTGGGCAAAGTGTGTACCACCTTTTCAAAGAACCAAATTCGTTAATGGCTTACACATTAGTGAAATTTATAGCAATGACAGCCTCTTTGCCCAGTTGAACACAAATTCAGCGCACATCTAAACAAACCTCCCCTCAGACTCTATGGTTCTGTAAATATAAAAACAAAAGAAAATAGAGAACAGAAAAGTTCAGGGTCTCATTTGCTATATGAACAAAGCCACACCACTTCTCAAATTCATTCCGGGTGCTGTGGTGACTTCATACCTTCCTGTGGCAGGGAAGCTGGAAAGCAGGAGAAAAAACAAAAACAAAAAACAAAAAACCAGCAAGTCACCTTCAAACTCTGGTAGTAGCCAAGAATTTTTACATTTTAAAGGGACCTTTGTCCCTAGGAATGGCCTGGCCCAACCCTTCCCGGAGACACTGACACTTTTATCCAGAAGCAAACAGGATGGGGGCGCCTGGGCAGCTCAGTCTGTTAAGCATCCGACTTTGGCTCAGGTCATGATCTCACGGTTCGTGGGTTCAAGCCCCGCGTCAGGCTCTGTGCTGACAGCCAGCTCAGAGCCTGGAGCCTGTTTCAGACTGTGACTCCCTCTCTCTCAGACCTTCCCCTGCTCGCTCTCTCTCGCTCTCTCAGAAATAAATAAAACATTAAAAAAAAAGATATCCAGAAGAAAACAGGATGGCGGGTTTGTCGTTTTCACAGATCAATACAAGCCCAGCTGGTAAATTTCAAGTTCGATTTCTGTTCTTGAGACCAGAGAATTCACAGAGCTAAGGCAGCCTCCTTCCCCCACCACACGCACAAAACGCCAAACACGTTCCTGACGAGACGCATTAGAATCTTGTTCTTGGAGCTCAAGTCCCGCTTTTAAAAGGGACTCTGAAACTTTCGGTACGTTTCTGCAGGGATCCAGAACGCTGTGGATCTAGGGCTGGAAGCCCAAAGTCTGTAAATATTGATGAGCTTATGGGAATCGGGAAGCTGGCATGGCGACAGCTGCCAGTCTGGGTGTCCCAGTGACAAGGGGCACAGGTTCAAGGGGTGCAGAGCCAAGGGCCTACAGTGGCAAACACAGGTGGGGACAGTTCAGTCCACCCCCCCCCGGCACCTGGGGTGGCTCCTCCCCCACCTCTGGGCAGCCCCACAGGTGCAGGCCGCCGCTGGAGAAGCCAGGAGTGACAGGGGACCCAGCCCGGTCCCTTCTCGCAGGGGGAGGGGAGGGGACCCGGAACAGGAGCCATTTAAACTCTGCGCGGCGCTTGGAGTCAGCAGGGCTGGGAGCCGCCGCCGAGCGACCGGGGTGGCGCCAGGACCACGCACCCATGCGCGTCCCGGGGCCCCGGTCCCCGCAGGGAACCCAGGCGGACCCGCGCCTGCCCCGCCGGCGCCCCTACCCCCGACGAGTCCCCCGCCCCGAGGCCGCCTTTGGGCTGTCACCGTGAGGGTCCCGCAGCTGCCTCACCTTGGTGATGACGAGCGGCTCGCCGTGCTCGCGGCCGCCCTTCAGGGTGAAGCCCCACGGGGCGCCGCCGCTCAGCTGCACCTCCACCAAGCGCCCGCCGTCGGCCGCCCGCGCGTCGGCCTCGGCCAGGCGCTCGGGCCGCGCGCGGGGCTCGCCGCCCTCCATGGCGCGGGGCGCGGGGCGCGGGGCGCGGAGGCGGCGCGGCCGCTCAGCCCCCAGGGCCCGCCCGGCCCGCGCCCATGCACTCGGAGCCGGGCCGGCCGAGGGCAGGGGAAGCTCCGTGCGCTCCTGCCGCCGCCGGCCAGTGGCGAACTTGCGCGGCAACTCGGGAGGAAAGTGCCGGCCGGGGCCAGGGAGGGAGCGGGGCGCGGGCGGCGCGGCGCACGGAGGTGGGCGGGGCCGGCGCGCTGAGGGCTCGGGCGGCTCGGCGGGCAGGGGGCGGGGCGCGCGCGGGGCTCCCGGGAGTTGGCGGGGGGTGGGAGGGACGCCCCCGGGGCCCGCGCGGCCGCTGAGGGATGGCGGGGCGACCGGCGCTCGGGGCAGCGGCGCGCGCCCGGGGACGCCCTCGACGGGTCCCCAGGGGGCGAGGGCCTGCGCGCACACGGTACCGGGGAGCCGGCCAAAGGTACGAGTGCGCGCTCGGGGCTCCCCGCGAGTTACCCAGAGGGTGGGCGGGGGCGAGGGCCGGCGCGCGCACGGAACCTGTGCGGCCCGCCGGCTGCTGGAGCGCGCTCCGGCCCGCGCCCCCCCAACGTTGCCCGGAGGGCGCAAGGGGGCGGAGCGCGCTCTCCGGCCCTCGCGCTGCTCGGCGGGGTCGAGAGGCGGCCGGGACCGCGGCGCGAAGCCCGGGCCTTCGTCCCGCGCGAGCGCAGGGCGGCCTTCGGAGGCTCCGGGCGCGCCCGCACCCCGCCCGGGGGGCCGAGTCGCGGCAGGTGAGGCGGCGGAAGCGCCCGCTCGGGCCGGGGCGGCGGTCCGAGTCCCCGGCGCCCTCCATCTTGGAGCGCGCGGCCGGCCCGCCGGCCCCGCCTTTGTTCGCGCCGACCGCGGGCTCCCGGCGGCCGCCCAGGTGAGGCCGGAAGCGCGGCGGGCGGCCACGGTTCGGCCCCGCGCGGGTCCGCGAGCCGCCGGCCGGCTCCCGCTCGCACGTGCTTTGCCCCCAGGCCCAGGCTTGGGACCCGCGGGTCCCGGGAGCCCGTCGTGAGAGCCTCCCTCCGCCGCGCAGCGCGGGCCGAAGCTCTGGCCCTGGGAGGCTGCTTTAAAGTCCGGGCAGGGGAGAAGGGCGCCTGATCTCTTGCCCTGTGGCGCTGCCCATCGTCCCACCGAGTCCCTGCTGCAGCGCCCGGCCCAGCGAAGGCATGGCCTGTCCTTGGCTCTTCCTAGCCCTTCTAAGTCGCAGTCCAGGAAGTCTTTGCGTCCGGACCCTGTCCTCACTTTCGTACGGTGGTGCCACGGCGTCTTACTATCCCCCGCCTGCATTGCCCACGATGGAGAGGTGGGCCGAAGTTACTGAAGGGTGTGCCTCCTCGCGCTACCCCTTTTCAAGGTACATAAAAGTCTGGCATAAAGAAATATCTGTATTGGCACGTTTTTGCATGCTTTGCAAGGAAAAACACTTTTTATTTCATTTGTAGTTATGTCCCTGGACGCTGGTGATCGCTTGTTGCTTCAGAGAAGCTCCATCCGGGTACTTGGAGCAGGTGGGGCTGGGATGGCCCTCAAGGACGAGCTCGGAGACCACTGGGCAGAAAAGTGAGGGGTCTCGGGCTCTGTCGACCAGACACAGGGAACCTCAACTCTGGCCTCAGTTTCTTCAGCGGTCAGGGGAGGGGTTTCCGTTCTGGGCTGAGGGTTTGCCTCATCCAGGCAATTGAAGTGAGAGTGCAAACTTCGCTCGGCACCTCGGGCCCTGGGAAATGATTACTTAGCCCATAAGTAACTTCCAAACTACGGCGTCCAGAGTGTCTCCAGGTAGAGTGATCAGGATTTTTTTTCTTTGTAAAGGGAGGGATAAGGAGCGTGCCTGTTAGAATCCATCTCGAGTGTACCTTGACTGGAGCGGTTATGCAAATCTGCACAAATTGATTAAATTGCACAGAACTAAATAGACACACACGGGAGTGTCCCGAAGCTGGGGAAATCTAACCAAGCTTGGCAAATTGTATCAATGATAATATTCTGACTGAGGTGCAAGGTGCAGGGGATGTCCCTATACTGTTTTTTACCACTAAATGTGCGTCTGTACTTACCTTCAGGTAAAACATTTACTTTAAAAAGCGGATGGATTGAAAACCCAAAAGATAAAGGACCATGTAAATGCGCTTAGAATTTTTGGCCGTTCCCTAGTCTTTTTTTTTTTTTTTTTGTCTTTTTTTATGTTTTTTTTTTTTATTTTTCAGAGAGAGAGAGAGAGAGACAGCGTGAGCAGGGGAGGGTCAGAGAGAGAGCGAGATGTAGAATCCCAAGACATACTCCAGGCTCCGAGGTGTCAGCACAGAGCCTGACGCGGGGCTCAACCCATGAACCATGAGATCATGACCTGAACTGAAGTCGGACGCTTAACCGACTGAGCCACCCAGGTGCCCCAAGCCGTTCCCTAGTCTTAAAACGCACAGCCCTGCCCTGTGGTATTAACTTAAATCTCCGTGAACCAGGGCTGAAATTCAGGCCACTAGACTCACTAAGCCGAGTCCAAGATTTCACTGTCGCCCTAAATCACAGCCAAACAGCTTTAACATTTTATGTTGACCATGGAACCAGATTACGTATCTGCCACTTGAAAGGGTTATTTATACTGTTCATTCCTCACACTCAGTGCGGGTTGACATTTATCCTTACTACATTTCATTTTACTGAGTCTGTTCTTAATCTTCACATGAAGCATTCCTCTCAGCTGAGCATGAGTGGAAGATTTCTAAGGCTGCTCCCTCGCAGTAAATACAGCAGAAGCCTCTGTGGCCTGCTTGGAGATAGATGCCCTCTCGCAGACCCTCAGAAAGCCTCTCATGGACATTCTTGGGTTTATATAGTCAGGCAAATCCACCCTCACACCTAGGCTTCTGTGTCATGTCGGTTGTATCGTCACAAGACACTGTAACATATCTTGGAAGTCATCGATACCTTGTGACTGAAAGGCATTGCCCCGGTTCATTAGCCCCGCACCCTCTTTGGAAGAGTTTACTGTGACACTGAACCAGTGTGGACTTCGCAGTGGTAATGGTTTTCTTTTCTGAGAACTCACAACTCAGCCAGATTTTCCAAGGACAGAATATATTTGTTAGCATCTAGCCTTTCTTTCAGAAAGCCAGGGACAAATAGGTTTTATGAGCGTATGTTCTTCTGGACCTGCAGACGTGACCCTGTGACCCCCCACCTTCTAGGCATTCCATAGGCATTCCATAGCACGGGTATGCCGCTGTTGTAAATCTGACGCTTCCTTTGATAGAGGAGAGACAGGTGAAATGAAAGGTAGTTCTTTTGGTGTCTGGCCGGCTCAGTCAGCACAGCATGTGACTCTTAATCCCTGGGTTGTGAGTTCCCAGGCCCCATGCTGACTGTGGAGATTACTGAAAAAGTTCTTTCCCTTTCCTGATAGTGAATGAACCAATCGATGAATAGAAGACCAGTTGAACCAATTTTCAGAGATTTCATCAATAGCTAATCCTTTTTATGAAATAGAGTTCAAATTATTTTAGTTTTTTTCTTCTAAAAAACAGAGGATTTGTAGTTATAGAATGCAGTGGAGGATAGGGTACCAAAGCTTCGCCTTTACCTTCCAAAGTGGTAGCTCAGAAATGCCCAGTTTTCCAGAACACCTGTGGCAATTTTTAAAGGGCAGTGTTAGCCAATTTCTACTTCACCCACTGCGTACCTGAGTTGGGGGTCCCTATAATTCAGATTGAGAGTCCATCCAGGTCCAAGAGCTTAGCTGGGGGACGGAGGGGCCACCTCCAGGTAAACATCGATGCAATGACTTTGCCCTTCACCAGCGTTCGTCATCTTGCTTTCCGCCAGCTATGATTACAAACATTGGAATTTAACTTAGTTGCCCTGTGACCAAAGCTGAGTGCTGCGTAACCGCACCCCCACCTTTACCCCCGACTCAGAAGGATTTTCCCCTGGGCCTTGTTGGCTGAGTATATACAGATCTCTAGGGGAGAGACCTCCTCGTTCTGCGCGGGGCGGCTCTGCCTGCGCGGGCGCCGTTCTCCTGTGCGAGGGCGCCACCCTGGGAGTCGGGCTTCCGGTGCCCGGCACCTCTGCCTGGGGAAGCGACAGCCACAGCAACGAAGAAGTGGTAGCCCCGAGTCACCGGGAACCTACTCTGTACCCAGCACATTACGTAAAGGGATGTCCGGGACACAGCTGCTTGAACACGCATCACCCCAGTTTACAGAGGGAGAAACTGAGCCCCACAGGGATTAATGTTCTGCTTGAGGTTGCTGAGCCCGGTCACACGGGAGACACGCACTCACACTCTTCCACTCACAGGGACCCGTGCGGGATTGGGTACTGGGGGGCAGTTTGCACCGAGCTAGGGAGTCGGCTTTCCTCTGTAAGAGGTTTAGACCCTGAGCCACCTTTCGAGGTTCCCTTGATCTCCAGACAAGAAAGAGGCTGCAGCATCCTATGTGGAAACCTGGCCTATAAAACTGGGGACTAATTTAGGTTTGTTTGAGTTCCAATCTTTGGGGGCCTTGGAGACGTGTCCTTTAATTTTTTTTTTTTGCTTTGTTTAGTCATTTTTGAGAGACACAGAGCTTTAGCAGGGGAGGGGCAGAGAGGGAGACACAGAATGGGAAGCAGGCTCCAGGTTCTGAGCTAGCTGTCACCACAGAGCCCGACACGGGGCTCGAACCCACAAATCGTGAGATCATGACCTGAGCTGAAGTCGGCCACCCAACTGAGCCACCCAGGCGCCCCATAAGTTTAAGTTGATAAACAAGCAGTGTCTTACAGTATGAGTAGTACATGACGCCGATCAGCACATGATCACCCCTGAGCCGATGGTTCTCTCTCTCTGTCTCTGCGGGATTGTGGGTGATCTTCTCCCATGCTCGAATGCTCAGTCTCAGGCCATGGTGTTTGGCAGAAATCGGTGATGTTTCCGAACGTTGGAAGGTGCCCAGAGCGGGCACTAGTGTATTTTTTGTCACTGCAAGCACCTCTGGACCGTCCTTTGCTTTTCCAGAGAAGAGTGAGCTTAGGAAAGCTTTGCTTCCTTCTAGGTCAGGCCGCCTGCCGATAGAGACCCTTTCGTCCGCTGCCTAATTGCAGTTCCATTCACCTCAGTACCTGAGAAGAGTTTGTTCATACTGCACCGTGGCCAACGTCTCTTAGTAGTGGCCAGACTCTTCTAATAACCCTCCTCTCTCCTGTCTCCCTCACACCAGCCACAAAGGCTTTCAAAGGTATGTGCGGGTTCATTTGTTTTCCTTTATAGTTTGTATTGTCTTTAGTATCTTGTATTATATTACAGAACTGTAATCATTTTGATATGAGTATTTTGGGCTTGTGGAATGAATCATCAGAGTTTCCATTATTTTTTAGGGGAAAATCGCTTTGGTATACAAGTCCTTTAGATTCCAAGCATGTTTCCGGAAAGAATTACGATTGCAAATCAAGGTTTTTATTGTATATATAAAACAATACTTTTAACTTGGGAGTACTTAAAAAGAGATATCTACTCTTTTTAAAGTGTTGTGTTTTTTTTTTAATTTTTAAGTTTAATTATATAAGAGAGAGCACGGGGGAGGGGCAAAGAGATAGGAAGAGAGAGAATCCCAAGCAGGCTTCACACTGTCACAGTTTGGAGCTCCATGCCGGGCTCAAACTCCCGAACTGTGTCCTTAGCTGAAATCAAGAGTAGGTCACTTAACCAACTGAGCCACCCAGGCGACCCTAAAAGTCTTCATTTTTAAAATGCAGTTTTAGGGGCCCGTGGGTGGTTCCGTCAGTGAAGCGTCTAAGGTTGGCCCACGCCATGATCTCACAGTTCATGGGTTCGAGCCCCACTTCGGGCTCTGTGCTGACAGCCGTGAGCCTAGAGCCGGCTTCAGACAATGTGTCTCCTTCTCTCTCGGCCCCTTCCCTGCTCACACTCTGTCTCTCTCTCTCTGTCTCTCTCAAAATTAAATATAAAAAAAATTAAAACATAAAATGCAGTTTTTTTTTTTAATTTTTTAATTTTTTTTTTTTTTTTTACTTTATTTCTAGGAGAGAGAGAGAGACAGCGTGAGCAGGGGAGGGGCAGAGAGAGAGAGGGAGACACAGACTGAAACAGGCTCCAGGCTCTGAGCTGGCAGCCAGCACAGAGCCCGACGCGGGGCTCGAACCCACGAACCGCGAGATCATGACCTAAGCGAAAGTCAGATGCCCAACCGACTAAGCCACCCAGGCGCCCCTAAAATGCAGTTTTAGAAAGCCATTGGCTATTTTTCACTTTTTATTTTTTTTAATAAAGTAGCCAGCAGTGGGGCGCCTGGGTGGCTTAGTCGGTTAAGCGTCCGACTTTTGCTTGGGTCATGATCTCGCGGTTCGTGGGTTCGAGCCCCGCGTAGGGCTCTGTGCTGGCTGCCAGCTCAGAGCCTGGAGCCTGTTTCAGTCTGTGACTCCCTCTCTCTCTGACCCTCCCCTGCTCACGCTGTCTCTCTCTCTCTCCTAGAAATAAAAAAAATAAAAAAATAAAAAAAATAAAGTAGCCAGCAGTACCTCTCGAGCACTTTTAACTGGCCCAGTGCTGGGGAGAGGTCGCTAAGGAATGTAAAGGATGCAGGAAATCGGAAACATTAACTCTGGCCAATGAAGAAAATACAATAGGAAAAAAAAGTGCACCATCAGGCACAAGATGACTTTTAACTGCAAAAGTTCTAGCAGGCGAGAAAGAAACCCAAGTAGAGAAGGGGGGAGGAAAAGGAGTTAATCCAGTGATAGGGGAAATTTCAAATTCTTCCTCTTTGTGGAAATCTCAGGTAGGCGCCAAAGGAGAACTCTGGCTTCATTCCTGCCCCCTTTTCTCTCAAAAGGATTTCAGACACATCAAGGGCAGAAGGACTGAGGAAGTGGGGCTGCGGGTTCATTGGTCCTTGGGTGCGGACCCTGTGAGCAGAGGAATGTTCCTGACAGGGACGTTGAACGCGTCAGGACCGAAACGCTGTGAATGAGTTCAGAAGCTTCCCAGTCCTGCCCCTTCTGACTGTGCGTCCTGCGCCCCGACTCCCCAGCACAGGCTGTGCGCGCAGGGTGGGGCGAGTGAGCAAGTGTAACAGCCCCTGGGCTTCTGGCTGAAACGACCGGGCGGTGGCCGCAGAACGGGTGCGGGTGGGCAGTAAGGAGTCTCTTCGGGCAGGTTGAACCTTGAAACGCCTTTGGGATCCCCTGTGCATTTTCTAAGGCTGTTGTAAGAAATTGCCATAAACTGCTTAAGACTTTTTTTTCCTTCATGGAAGCCAGAAATGTGAAATCTCGGTGTCCGCAGGACCACAACTCCCTCACGGAGAGAATCTGCTACCCTGGCCCCTCAAGTGTCTGGTGGCTGCTGGCATTCCGGGCGTTATGACCAGATCAGTCCAACCTTGGCATTTGTGGCCACCCAGCCTCCCCTTCCTACGTCCAGGTGGCCCTGAAATGGTGAGAGGAGAAGGTTCCAGTGGGACACTAGACCCCCAGGCCCCTGCTCGGCCTCACTTCCCTGCAGAGGACCCCTCATGGGACGCAAATGACTCAAGTATAGATGGAGGGGTTGCAAGGACTGAACGATACCCAGAAGCCCTTGGGGGTGGGGGTGGGGCATGAATAGGAGTAACACGTGAGAAGTGCTCCAGGGACCAAGGAAAGCCCGAGCCAGTTTTAGGAGAGACTATGGATGCATTTAGTCTCTACAGCCCCCTTGAAGCGCCCGCTAACCACGGATGGTTAACGCGGCTGCCGTAGGTCAGGCCCAGGGGGACATTCAGTGCCAGCCGCCAACGCCGGAAGGTTTCAGGGGCGTGAGGGCCAGTCAGTTGCTGGAAGCAGCAGCCCAGGTGCTGGTCAGCCGGGACCAGGCGGCGCCGGGGGAAGGACGCCAACAGGCGCGGAGGCAGGCGGACATTAGCAGCGCCTTGGGGGAGCCGTGGAAACGCTCCCAGAAAGGTGCCCCGCAGGGAGAGGGTCAAGGCCAGAAAGGGGAGGGGCCGGAGGAGGGCCTCGCACCCGAAGTAGGACAGAATCGGCGTGCTTACTGCCGCAGGAGGGCCACTGGAAGAGCGAGGGCCCCCGGCAACTGGACGATTCTCAGCAGGGCCCCAAGCAGAAAGAGACCGCGGTCCAGGGCCGGTACCAGCGGGCCCCACGGCCTCACGGGGCCCCTGAAGACGACTTTGGGTGCCGGCCGCCATGGAGGACAAGGGGGGACTAGTGAGGAGCCTAAGTAACGTCATTTTGAGTTTAAGGCCTCCATGGAGAGCAACCACGGGCTGCACGTAGCCCGAGTTCCAGGAAAAGCCTCAGACTGCTCAAGGCTGAAGCCACCCTCAGACCGCCCTCAGATCAGCCAATCAAAAGAAGTTAAAAACATTCCTGTGGTCTGAGTCAGGGACTGAGGACTATAGATAGTTACTTTGTACAAACTAGCCAATCACTCACCGCTTGCCTAAACCCCACGGGGGCCCTTTGAACTCATCTCATAATTGGTCATTCTCAAAGGATTCTCATAGGTCATGATTGGGTCCCGCCAAAAGTAACGAACACCTCACAGATACTGAATGGTCAAACTATAACCATGGGTGTTGTACAATTGTGATTGGTGTCTATGTGATGATGCTATACGTACAACGTGTGCACTGTAACACCCCCGTCCCTTACCCCATAAAAACCCTGCTCGCTATTGTTGGGGGCTTCACCCTACTGCCGCTGCGCCGGTTGACTGGTGAGCCCCTGCTCGAGCTTGTACTAAAGACCATTATGTACCTGCATTGGTGTCGGCTCCTTGGACGTCTCAGGGGACTCGCGATTCGAGCATAACAGTCTGTGTGCCCATACACCGGAGTTTCTGTGCCCCAGCTGGAGCTGTGTTTCACGGGCTACTTGGGAAAATGAAGGTGCGACAGTGCTCCTCAGAAGGGGGCTGCTGCGTCAGGCTGTCAATCAAAGGTATGTAACCCTGTTAATTTCACCATCATTAACCCAGGAGACTACAAGCGGTCGTGGGGCACCCAGATCGGCGTCTGAATCTATGGGCGGGGTAGAGCCCCAGGGACTGTGTTACATGTCAAGAGGGTCACCCGCACGCCTCCATGTCCCATGAAGTCTTCCACTCCTTCTACAAAGAAAGACGTAGCCCCCCTCCCATTTCAGTCCCAGCGAGGAACTTGTTTGTAGCCCTGGCAGAGACTGTAACCCAGACCCTAAAGATCCCTTCATGCTACGTATGTGGGGGAATCAACGTGGGGGATCAGTGGCCATGGGAGGCCAGGGAATTAGATCCCCGCAAGCCTTACAATGGAACAAAACACCCCAGTTCCACTACCAGGGTTTGCTCCTCAAAACCTTCATTATTGGGAAGAACTATCTTTGCCAATGGGGAGGAAAGTTCACCAGCTCTGTTGGAAACTTAACGTGCCTGGGCCAAAGGCTGTATAATTCAGCCACCTGGGAAACCCAATGGTGGGGGTCCCCGGGTCACCTTGAGCTGGATCCTCACCCCTGTCTAACTTCTCCCATCTCCACGAGGCTTGGGACAATGTTGACGCAGCCATCGAATGGCGGGTCCCAGGAGGGCTCTGCTGGATACGTGGAAAAAACAGCTTATACGGTACTTCCTTCAGGCTGATGAGGGTCATGAATGTTGGTGCCTATTTGTCCATCCTTCTGCTCCCAGCTGCTAGGGAGGAACATCTGGAAGTTCAAATGTACGGAGATAGGGAGACTCGAAGGAAGCGGCGTGCCCTACAAGTTGGCAATTGGAAAGATGATGGGTGGCCTCCCAAGCATATAATCCCATATTATGGCCCTGCCACCTGGGCAGAGGATGGGTCCTGGGGCTACCGCACCCCCATTTACATGCTAAACCGCATAAGCGGACTGCAAGCAGTTGTAGAAATTATAACCAGTGAAACTGCCAGAGCCCTTAACTAACTAGGCAAGCAGCAAACCAAGTGTGCAATGCCATCTATCAGAGTCGCTTGGCCTTAGATTACCTGCTTGCTTCTGAGGGAGGGGTTTGTGGAAAGTTTAACCTGAGCAACTGCTGCCTCCGGATAGATGGTGAGGGAAAAGTCACAGAGGAGATCACAGATCGAATGAGGATTGCTCATGTGCCCTCCAGACCTGGTCTGTCTTCAGCCTAGTTGAGGCCGTGGTTGAAAGAAAGCCAGCCACTCACAGAATGATGTTACGTAAATAAAAGCCTCTAAACCAAAATGATGTTCTT